TGCATATTTATATATATATATATATATATTTATATATATATATATATATATATAATAGCAAAGAAAAATAACTTGCGATGAAATAAATAACCCCGTTTTGAAAAATAACAGGAAAGTTACGTATTCAGGATATCCAGAATCCAAAGATGTAGACAGGTAATTATTTTTTTTATGTAAAATATGCCAGTTTTATTAGCTGGAAATCACCTTAAAAAAAACACAGAAGGTTTAACGTCAAATTTAGGAATTTACGTTTGAATATTACTTTATCTGTTACAAAACACGGGGAAATAAATTTTAAATAGAAGAAACCTACCATAAGCACACGATTGCCCGCTGTCTCCCCGTATTGGAAAAATAAATAAAAAGGACAATGACCTAAAACACATGAACTTTTAGAAAATTATCGCATAAATGTAAAATTTATATATTTTTATAGAAGTTTTAAAATTCCTAAATTTAAACAGTAAATTTTGAAAGTTTTATATTTTTCCAGGCAATCGTCTATAAATAAAATAATGGAATATAAGATACGTGAAGACATAAAACACAGGATTAGCATTTGGCAGATGAATTTCGTCTTAAAACCACGACCAACAACGAACTTAACGGAATCAAACGGTCCCGAGAACGAATTACGGACAAAAATTTCGAGACAAACGCATCAGACGATAATAAAGTGTGTTCACTCTTCGTCTGAGTAATTGAACTTAACGGAATGAGAGTCCAGATCGATCTGACCTCCCCTGTAGCTTCCTCGCTTCTTCTTCGTCTTCTCGTGTCGGAATCCCCTTCCAAAAAAAAAAACAATTTAATCAATTTCATAGATCCTATGTGGTTGTATAACACTAAACCTTACCATCATTTACTTATCTACAATGTTACAATTAGTGGTTGTAATTTCTCTCAACCCAAAAAAAAAAGAAACTAAACCCAAACAGAACCCAAAAAGAAAATCTGAAAAAAACGAAAATTTAAACAAAAATGAGTATTTTTATAAACAAAAGCGGAACCCAAACCGAATTATATATAAAAATCCAATGGTTATAATTTTTCTAACGAATTCGAGTATAACCGAACCGGATCCAAACGGAAGCCCGAAATGACCATCACTAGTTCTTTTAATGGTTTATTTAGGTCAGTTGCCTAACTCATAAAAATACTGTTTTTTTTTTTGTCAAAGGCTGAGGAGCTTACCTTCCCCTGACTTGTCCCAGAACTTCTTGGGCTTTTGCACCATAGCCGGAATCAGCACCATCCTACAGAAAAACATAGAGGACGAGTATGGGCTTTTAGTAAATGCATTGTTAAGACAAAGGGATACCATAGAAAGAAAAAGGATGGCCATTATCTGATAGTATACCTTTGCCCAATAAGAGTTGTCTTTAAGCCTATCATCGACGAATTCAACTTCTTCAACATTCACTCTTTGAAACGGTTTCTTCGGCTGGAAATTGTAAACTATGTCAGACCAAGATCGATACCCGAGGACCCTTACATAGTGGATGGCATTTAGGACAATTATCTTCCTGCAGTTTAGTTTTATATTATGACATTCCACCATGCAAGGAGAGATGTATTAGACAGCAGTAATTACCTCTTTTGAGCCATTGAGCTTATTCTTGTCTGACTTCTGATTTGTTGATTTTGCTCCTGTATTCTCAAGATTCCCATTTTCCTTAACTTCAGGCTGTTTGGCAGGTGTTTTCTGGTCGCCATTGACATCGATGTCATCATCCTTCTTCCTACGCTTCGATTCTTCATCCATCTTATCATCCATTTTTTGTTCATTCTCTTCTTCATTCTCTGGTCTTTTTCTTTTCTTGGATACCTTCTCCACCTCATTCTCCTCTTGAGTTTTATCATCGTCTAAGGCTTCTGACTCTCCGGCTTTAGACTTCTTCTTCTTCTTTTTATCTTTTTGTCCCTCTCCCATCTCAACATCGGTCTTAGTCTTGTTCTCAGATGACCCGTCTTTGACCTTCTCCTTAGTCACCCCTGATTTTGATTCCTTCTTTTTCTTTTTCTTGTCCTTTTGCCCCTTCTCCACATCAGCATATGCATCTTTTGATGCTTCAGCAGCGTTAGTATCGCAACTCTTTGGTTCTTCTACTATCTTGACATCCGTTTCTTTCTTGTTCTCCGACTTTGATTCCTTCTTTTTCTTCTTGTTGTTCCTTTCTCCATTCTTGTGATTATCTGATGCATTTTCTTCTTCCTTTCTACCATAAGTCTGCATGTCTAAGCTTCATAACATTCAGATCATAATTATCAAGAAAAGATTGCAGGACTTCAAAAGTATAAAGAATAAACGGTAACTATTCTCTTGTATCAAGAGTTCAATTCATACCTTCTGTCTTCTGTTTGCTTGAATCCCCAGCTTCAGGACTACTGAATGACAGATAATAAGAAAACAGATTAAGAAAGCTCAATATGAGAACCATGGAGAACATTCACACTTCGCCGGAAAATCATTATCTGAGCCACAAATCTACCCATTACAGCAGCACAGACGAAAATTGACAGGAAATCTCACAGTTAGCTACATACGATACATTTTTCTTTTGCAAAAACAAATGACATGATATGATACAATACGAATTAGTGAAAAGCTGGGAGCGACTGCAATATCCAAAACATAAACATGTAACAGCAAGCACCCAAAATGGAGAAAGGCACATTGACATAGCAAGAACACCTTCCGTTGGCTAATTTTACAGAAATTCACATCAACCAAACAAGCAACTTCACAAACTAGAGGTAGAAAAGAAAGACGGGTCGGCCATCTTATTCTTACCTCCTCTTCAAATACTGGCAGTAAATTTCCTCTAGATCTGGTAAACTACTGCCCAAATCCTTTTTCTGCAACAGTAAGACAAATGGCACATATATGTGAGAGTTCTACCGCAAACAAAGGAACATTCCTATGTAAGTGAACGTCTCTTACATCATGGATTATTGACTTCAACACCTGGTTTGATGTCCAAGTTAAAATACTAAACTTTGTCCTCGCCAATCATCGATTGACTAAAAACGAAACAACTGTTGAACCAATGCAAGGCAAGAACAAGTGGGAACCAATACATCGACATGAAAACACTTTCACTAATCATTTCCGGGTCCTTCTTATCCAGACAACAAAAGAGAACTGCAACAGAATTGAAATTTACAATGGCGCAGACAGAATACACTGAGTGAAGCAATACAAGTTAAACCGATTAACACAATGGGTTATACGCATCTACTGGGAACCAATCCGAAAACACAAACCTCGATTTCAGCTTCAGAGAGGAATTTCTTCAAGCATTTGGAAAACCCGCATCGGTCGAGGTACTGAGCAATCGAACGGAGAAGAAGAACTTTCTCATCAGGTTTCATCAAATTAAGGGTTTTGCTCTCGGACTCACCAGCTTCCTTCTTCCCCATATCAGGTCTCGAGAGCAAAACTTGACGAGGCTTAAGAGCAAGGAGGGTAGGGTTTAGAGCCTTCGAAGAATCCGCAGATGCTAGGGTTTTGAGCATATATATGAAGCTGGGGGTTTCCCAATTTCGAGCTCGAAGAAAATTGCTAGGAAACCCGAGGCCGACAACTCTGTTGAAGACGAGGGTTTTAAGTAAAATTAGGGTTTGCTTGATGCACCGAAATAAAACCCGACCCGACCCGATTTGTGAAATCGACCCGGTCTTTATCAGTGTAAGCCTCGTTTAACAGTTCTGAAATATTTTCTACCAATCACGGTTCGAACCGAGTATTGATTTCGCTAGGCCCATTTAGCTTTTCCTTTCTATCAAATTAATCAAACAGCCCATTTTAATATCATTTTTTTAAAATTCATGGTTACCATTTTGATTTTCACATGGGCAAACACCATTCAGGCCCAAAGTGTTTCAAGACTAAACTACCCATTTGTAATTAAAAAAAAAATGTATTTTTTTGGTTAAAAAATCATATGAGTTGTGGCCAAGGAAAATAATGAAAGACACATTTATATTACAAAATAAAAAACTTGCAGTTACACCAGTCAACACCCCCCACCCCCAACCTTAGTCATTGAAAATTTTACACCGAAAGTAGTACCAAAAAAAACTTAAATAAATGCCCCCTTCCCATTACAAAAATTTAAAGCAAAAAAAAAAAAAACTAGAAATCTAGTGGATATTGGAAACTTGGACATAGTTCGGAAGACATGTACCCATGTAACCATCAACCCCATGTAGTTTGTCAACTATACCCCCGAAAACCATCCTAATTACACCCGTATCCTTTTTCCCTCCCCTTTTGACCGTCAGTAACCCTTTCCCAATTACCTCCTTTACCCAACTCTCGAACTTACCGTTCAGAAAGTTACCGCACCCTCTGTAAATTTCCTCCGTCACCTTCTCTTCGATGCTAAACCTAACCCCTTCTGCTCCTCCCCTGTATATCTCCCCGAAGATCTCTCCTATTTTCGCAGCGAACGCATCTCTCGTCTCTTTTGGATCGCGTTCGAACGCGAATCGGTTCCGGATCCGACCCAGAAACAGGCCAGTTGAAGAGATTTGGGTCTCGTCTCCGGTTAAATCGCTCGAAATCGGACTGATCTCGCCTGGTTTCGATGCTTCTTCTTCGTCGCTCTCTTCTGCTTTTATGTTCAGATCGAGAGAGCTATTAAAGCTGGATTGCCTCGAGAAGACTTCTCTCTTGATGACGCTAAACGCATTATCTGTCTCCCCTGTTCTAGGGTTCTTCGCTTCCTTTGACGACGAATCCGACTCGGGTTTTCTCTTGCGGTCCGGATTCTGTTCTGTGATCTTCAGACTCATCTGTAAAACATAGTCTCGGTGTTTTCCATCGTCCGAGCCATGATCTTCCTTCGTTAGAATGAAGATGGCTTGATGATCCACGCCTTGTTTGAGTTCCTGGCTCTCATAGAATCTGTCAGAGAGTAATTTCAGGAACTGGGCATCAGCCGAGTCGATGTCTTCGATGAGAAAAACAAGATTCTCGCGCTTCTCCAATGCGTCTGCGAGCATTTTGGATCTAGCATTTGCTCTGTCGTCTCTTTTCCTCAGGTCAATATGAACAAGAACACCAATAGATCCAAAAAGGGATTCTGAAACAGCAAGAGCCAGTCTTCTTTTTCCGCTGGTATCGTTGCCATTGATCATGATCCAAGCATCTTTCTTGCTCGACACGCTATTCATCAAGGTTTCAGCCATCGGACTCAGAATTTCACTTTGCCACGGGATATTCTCTTGCAAAGCCTTGGCCAAGATGCTGAGTTGCCTCGTTTCTCTGTCAGAATCTGACCAGAAGAGTGAATGTCCGAGATCAAGAGTGATCTTCACATCCGTACCTTCTGTTTCACCCAAAGGATCCGACTTCTTCTGGACGGCTACGCTCTCATCTTTCCTCGAGTCGCTGCCCAAATCAAACTCGATGGTGCACGAGTTTTGCCGTCTGAATTTCGCCACGGGATTGGGACCTCGTTTGTTTTTCTTCAGACTCGAGTCAGCGAAAGAAGCAGAAGCAGAGTCCGGAGACACAGTGTTCTGGTTCGACCACCATGGATAAGGCATGTCATTGCTCTGATCCAATTCACCGTTCTGAGCAGTCCTTCCTTGGTGCAAACTTTGGCAAAATCTGTTCCACTTTCTCCTTAAACCAATCAACTCTTCCTGCTAAAAACCCATATAAAAGATCAGATCTTGAATTCGACCCATGATATGACACGTTATGATGATCCATTGATTCCATACGTTTCACAGCTATTACAGATCACTTTCTGACGGAGAATGACTGTACCTTGTGTACGGAAGTGTCTCCGTGAGATTGGAGCCATGAAGGCAACAGCTTGTCCTGGTTGGATTTGAAGGACTTGGCCTCTCTTTCATAGCTAGAGACGCATTCAGAACAGCAGCTCAGGACAGCAGCTTCCTCGGCTTTGCCACCGAATGGCTTTGCTCCAACATGCTGCGATGTAGTATTATTACTCACCCTCGGTTCGTTTCCACTGCTTAAAACGTTCAAAATCAGACGGACGAACATTGTCACGATTAGTGTCGCTGAAAATGAAAGCAACGAAGTAAAAAGATTTTATTTTTTTAATTTGTCCAAATGGTAGTTTGGTAAATATATGAAACTTTTGTTGAGTATAATTTTCGAATAACATAATACATTTCCTTTACCAATTTTTTTTGTTCGAGTGTGAAAGCATATATATATCTGAATACAATTTTCAGTCCATTTAAAGAATACACACACATATATGTATATATATATATATATATACACATATGTTTGTGTGTGTGTTTAAAAGCAAAAAGGAAATTTGGATTGTTGTGGAGAGACAAGACAAGATGTTTCCCCAAAATAGGGCCATTTCTCAGCTTTCAGAAATAAAGAGAACTTGAGACAAATTAGTGAAATGGAAAGGGGCAAGAACGCCCACTGTGCACTACAAAACAAAACCCTAATTTCTCAATATATATATATATATATATATATATATATATATAT